CACACACACACACACACACACACACACACACACACACACACACACACACACAAACATCATACTGCCACATGCAGTTGTCGAACACCAACTTAGACTTGTTGGCACCGAAACTACAAACAGTTCTTCCAAAGCACAGATGTTCACCAGCTGGGTTCTGCATCAAAATATTCTGCACTCAGCTTCCCATTCTAAAGCAGATGTACTGTAGACAAAAAATACACTTCAGTATTGTAAATAACCTTAAACTGTGTCTAAAGCTGGTATTTTTTACAGGAACCTGCCACTGTGGAAGCTGCATGTGTGACACAAATGATGGAAAGAACTTAATAACGGGACGCTTCTGTGAGTGTGATGACAGCGAGTGTCTGGATGAGGATACCGGAGAGATTTGTGGAGGTAAATCATGTCCAAACTGCTAAAATAAAGAAAAACAAAAACAATTTAGACAAAACATAACTTTTTTTTGAGAAAATGTTAATAATAAATTTACAAAAATGGTAAATTGGGGGGAGGGGGTGAAGGGATAGTTCGGATTTTTTAAAGATTTTATTTTATTTTTTCAGATTTCTTTGGAGAGGTTTCCTTACCTGGTGTCAGTAGCTCTTTGAACAGCCTCAATTGGTTTAATTGACAAGTTAACAGCTAAGCTGAGCAGGGCCAAGACCAATACTGTCATCCTAAAACAACTCTTTTCTCAACAATGTCCTAACGGTACGGAGCCCGTGAGGGGACATGGGAGATTTTTTTCTGTTGTGTTCCCATGCAATGGTATTGCCTTACCTTGCAATACCTTTTGTGTTCCCTCGCAAAAGTTGTTTATCATTGTTGTGCCTGCCGGTTTGACAACAAATTCACATGTTCACCATTAGCGAGTCAGACTACTGCTTTAATTCAGCTTCAGAACGAATATATCACACAGCCACGCATGGAAGTATGTCATATTCCAATATTTTAACACACTGCAGCCACGCAACATCAATGTCGATTTCACGAACAGTGGCGACACACACATCCTGTTTTGGTAACCGGATATTTCAAAATAAAAGTCTGATTTAATTCAGTTAATATTCAAAACAAACTTTTGCGTGGGAACGCAAAAACAATATTGTGAGGTAACACAAAAGTACTGCGGGGTAACACAATAGGACTGCGTGGGAACGCAAAAGAAAAAAATTCCCCCATGTCCCCTCGCGGGCTCCGTATAATTGTTTGTGCAAACCCAAACTTTGTCCAGTATGTTTTAATTGTTTCCTTGCTTTGGCACACCTTGTTCACATAATTAAATTACCTTCTCAGAATATCATCAAGTTTAGCAGAAGGCTGYCACTCACTCATTGATTTCATTGAGGTGTGTTGAAGCAGGAACACCTCAACAGGGTCAWAGACTTCTGGTGCAAACTACAGTATTTTACAATCTTTTACATTGTTGTCAGTTTTGGTTATTCTGAAGTATGAGGAAATATCATACTTTGTTATAAAATGATATGTAAATAAATGTACAAATAAACTGATGATTGTCTAACTATAAAATAGCTTTTGCATGATCATGACATTTTTGATACCAGAGTTGTTTTCTGAACTTTGGTCATAATGACTCATAGCAGGAAGTTTAGGACATCACCAAACCATGTTAATCTTGACTTTGTTGGTTATCTGATCAAACATACTGTTTCCCCAAAGTGATACTGTTCAGAAGGCTACCAAGAAACAAATATTATAATAACAGTTCTTAATCTTACTGCAGGAAAAAAAAATCTGAGCTACGACTTTAAAATGAGTAAGACTTGTWAAATCTGCATGCCAATCTTTCTGCAAAGAATTCATGAGTTGTYGCATATGCTTCCAGGCCATGGACAGTGTTACTGTGGAAACTGTTACTGTGCTGCTGGTTGGCATGGAGACAAATGTGAGTTTCAATGTGACATCAGCCCATGGGAAAGCAAACGGAGGTGCACATCCCCAGATGGCAAAATCTGCAGCAACCGAGGTCTGTTCAGCCACTAACATGGCAGTCCCTGAAGTCTTGTTGTAAAATGAATAGTTTGGATTTAACAGGCAACTTTTAAATTGTGCAAAATCAAAATCACATGTTTTGCAATAAAACATGTGATTTTGATTTTGCACAATTTAAAATTTGCCTGTTAAAATTGGTGTTAAATTAAATTGGCTTTAAAAAATGTCTTCTTTCATCTAGAATAACTTATTTAATATAATGGTAAAATTATGTTTGAAATAGTTTTTTCCATGCAGGCAGTCTAAAAAAATTCCCTCATCCCAGTCAATAAATAACGTATTATTGTTTTAAAGGTCATAAAACATTGGAGTGATGAGTGATGCATATTCAGCTTCAGAGTCGTTATGTTATGAACATCACAAACATCATTTTAATGGAACTGTGTTGTTAGAAACAGAAAAAAAAAACTTTGTAAAAAGAAGTGAAGGAAGAATGCTTGGAGAGGGTGTTCTTAAATGCATCTTCTTTTGTTGGCTCTCTTTTGGCAACTGTATATATATATATAT